CTCGAATCAAATGAAAATATCAACAGTTTATAATTCAGAACAAGGACAACAATATGTATGTGCCCACAAAGTCGTGTGCATATTTTAGCGGATACAAGTTATGTATGTGTAACTTGTCCAGCTTGTTAGCTCTGAGTACCTAATACGAAATGCTATATGAAACTTTACTGTGTTCTACTTAAGAGTCAGTTTCAGAAGGATAAGGCACAAAATCGTTTTCCATTATCCATTACCACTGTCTCGTAGATGGCGTCTGAAATCTTTTGACGTCGTTATAATACTGAACAAACTTTAATAAAGCTTTAATTGGGGAAAGTGATTTACATGGAGTACAATTAAAATCGTTTGGCGTTCGTTCGTTTAAATCGTAATTTGTTAGCCCATGAAAAATGATGACGATAACCATCGTTTGTCCCTCAACAAGTCGGCAGCCTGACACACCCGGCCATCACTCAATCAAGTGTTGGACCTCGACAACCGTCGGCACCATGGCCGCTGACCTCTAGTTGATCTGATTGATATAAGTACCAATTTATTATTAACGCTAAACTTTCAATATTATCTTAGGCTACTTTTAAAATAAAACAATTGAGTTTTTCGACGCAATCACGCGACTCGGCAAAAAACAATTTAATAACTAACTTAAAAACGAAAATAAAGTATGATATTATATTGCGAAAAGGACGTAGCTTTTAAAAAGATTAATGACATCAAAAATATAGCACCTTTTCTGACATGTTAATGACATAATGATCAAAATAATGATTGAACGTAGGTGAAAACTTTATGAAACAATGAATTAATTTTTGAAAATAGGCTTATAAAACGGTACTTTAACACGTCAAAATTATTTGTAAAAAAAGTAAATGAAGCCGGCATTGCCTATACCTTCATTTATTTATCACAATACCACTCTTCAGTCAGTCACTGACAGAATAGTCATGATATTCTAACCTTTGAATTCTCTCAATTAAAATAGATTTTGTATGACGCTTAATAAATTGTAGACCCGCTAAAATAAATGGTTATTGCATCATTGTGTTCAACTCAGATTAATTTCTCACGAAACACTTTACTATGAGCGCGCAGAGTCTGTGACGATATTTTATTAGTTATTGTTTTAATTATATTCATTCCCTTGTCGTTCCAGTAGTTGGATATACAAGGACTGCATTTTCACAGATTTTTGTATCTCTATTTTCAGTGCCTAAATCTTGCGAAACTCATGAATATAAGTAATGTCTACTATATATTACGTAGAAAATTTAAAACAAAATACTATCTACGGACTTTGTAATTTATTTTTCTTTTTTCTTTTTGAAGCACTTCTCTCGCTTTTTAACAAAACGAAGTCCACCATTGGTGAATGTATAGCCTATGACTCCATTCATACATGTATATATGATATATTATATTTTTATTTATTAACAAACGATAAGTATTGGTTTACAAAACAAATTAGCCTTGTCAAACATCTAAAACGAGATGATTAAAATGTAATAAGTATTAGCATTGTGTAGTGGGCGAGGCATCCTTGAGCGCGCGGGTGGAGCGTAGTTGCGCAAGCACATACACGATAACAAGAGCACACGTACCGCAGTAAATGTCGCTCCAGCTTTTTATGGCTGCTTCAATCCTTCCCTACCGTACTAAGTAGCCACTTAGGCGTACACTTAGTATTACTTAGTCTGATATGCATCTATTTGAAATTTCTTAGGACATGGCTCTGATACAAAGAACTTTATTAGTTCAATCTGTTCATATAACAGATTCGTTTGAAGATATGTCTTATGTATGCAATATTTTTGGACAAATAAGTAGTATGTAATGGCGTATCTTTATTTAAATCGAAAACAGTCAATAAAACAGTGAAACAATAAATTTATATAGGCCATAAAATGTCACTTTTACACGTCAAATTATATGTGAAAAACTATATAAAGCCGGCATTTCCTATCTGACTACTCTGAGAAGAAATGCCGAAACAAACTCAGAGGTCAGTACAGTCGTATTTCCCTCCGTTGATAGTAAGTAGTACTTACCTTATCACATTATGTAATAAGATAAATAATCAGTATTCTAATTACCTTAATAGGAACAGTTTAGTGAACAAACAAATGAATACAGGTGTCAGTATGCAACGTCTGCCAATGTGGTTACTTTAATGATTCACAAGTAAAAGAAACCACGTAAAATGTAGACTTAAGAAAATTCACTTTTTTGTTGCTTCAACACGAGCCGTCGAAATTAATCTGTTAAGTATAATGTAAAAACATCACGACATTTCTGTGCACTATTGTACTATTAAGTATTTAAAACAATAGAAAAAACAAATGAGTATAAACTAAACTCCACCGAATTATCAGTTCTGAATTTAAAATGTTATTGCCTGTCTGCCGTTATACAGAAAAGTGATTTCAATGTAGCATGCATTGGTCGCGTGTATAATCGCAATGATGTTCCGCGGCCCGGTTCGGAGCAGAAAAAGGAACGGATTTGGTTTTTAGTAAGTAAGATTCCTGATCCTGGTCCTGGTCCTGTCCCGGTCCACGCAGGGCTGGAAAAATCATTGATTGATATTTCCAAACCATAAAAATGTGTAACTTACACTTTCAGTAAAATACTTCACTTTGGGTAAAATGAGGTTATGAGTGATGACATACTTGAACTTTTTGCATAAGTTGAACATCGAGCTCAGTGGCGTGCAATCGGAGAGGCCTATGTTCAGCAGTGAATGAAATCAGGCTGATGATGATGATGATGAGCTTTTTACATTGATAGGGGGCTAACAAACTGCAGGTTAAAGCTATCATTAATTTGATATTTAACATAAAAAAAATGTGTAGATAAGATTTCCAAGGTATAACTTCTTAATTAACTCCGACTCTTACCTAAATAAAAGTGTATCCATACAACCTTATAGTGTTTGGTTTTGGTAAGAAGTTGTCAGTGTACGTAGTCGTACCAAGAACTGGAAAGCAGTGCAAGTGTAGCCGGCGGCGGGCGGGCGGCGGCCGACCGACTGCTCCGATTACTACGACCTTGAATTTGAGGTAGAGGGCCATGTCTCGTGTTACATATACAATGCAGGAAATTAAAACCTCTGTTGTCATAACGGACGGAAATGCGAATAAAAAACGAACAAATATATTTTTTATTTTTAATCATTAAGTTTATGACCATAGACGACTTTTTCAACTTCTATTATTTTCCTTTCACTTGTTACTCAATTCCATAACTATTGAATTAGCTAGAAAAACTGGATCCTGCTTTAATACCTACATATAGGTAAGCCCTAAGATTTAATGTGATATAATGTATTGTATATGAAATACATATACCTACCTAAACAAATAATCTCAAGTTTATCTGCTTTATATTCAAGTGTTTTAAAATATTTTAATGCGACAAAACCTTGTCCTTCTTTCTATGACCAAAATCATCTCACGACATTGTTCCCACATGTAAACTTGAGACAAGTATCAACAATGCTTACTTTTAACGTAGGTACCTAGTTATAATTAATTATTATTATTCTAAATATTGCGTGAATGGCGCTGTGGCTGTGAGATCAGCTGCTAAGCAAATGTGTCATGAGTCCGATTTAATGGAATTTTTCTTTATGCGATTAACGATTATGATTGGATACTAGATAAAATAACGTAGATACTTGTGGAATTACGGACCTCTTTTTCGAGGAGAAATATGTCGCTTTTTGTGGGGCGAGAGGTTTTCTCATACTCTTACCCGGTCCTTCTTTTGCACTTTCGCGTTTTATAGTTTGGAAACTTTTATTAATTTTACGTTGGTAGCCGAGGTGCAGAAGTGAAATAATTTTTGATTCTACAATAGCGGGCTATACGAGCCGTATTAACTTGTTCCATCGCGAATCTCTGAAAGAACTATTTGAAACTATACCATACATCTTGTAACAGTGCCTTGTCTATTTATATACGAAAATATGTTAGGAAAGGAGAAAGTATGGTAGGAATAACTAACAATTATTTGTAAAAAAGCGACAGGTAGAATTGTGACAAAAATAGGCTGGCTATACCACGAAAAGTAAACAAACACTTTTTATTTCTTATTGCTTAAACTAAGAGTGAGTTATATAAAAGCTTTCAGATTGTCAGTATTTATTTGTGAGCGCCATTTTCGAGACGATAAAGTATTTAATATTTATTGATGAGGATTAATCCTTTTGTCTGTTGTTTTCTTTCAAATTTTTTTTAAGCATATAGCACAAACTTTTAAAAAAAATTAAGAGTTGATGCTACTTTGGGTCTGGCACAGCTTCACTGACGAACAGACCGACAGGGTATTATTATTCTATTTGGTCGTTTCAAAAGTACTTTATTTATTAAAAACTAGCTACTCCCGCGCGGTTTCACTCGCTGGTCGATCCATTTGATTCTAGCGTGATGTTTTACAACCTATAGCACTCGGGAGTATTGTAGCTATAAATAAGTGAAAGAATTTTGAAAATCCGACCAGCGGTTCCAAAGGTTACCCCCTACATACAAACTTACAAATTTTCATCTCTTTGTAATATTAGTATAGATAGGTATATGTTTTAGATTTTGACTTTGATCATTTACGATTATTTACTTTGACCATCAACGTAGAAGCGAGTGGTCGAAAATGTGTGTAAACATAACACGAAAAGTTTTCCCTTTGATCCTGTCCATTTGGCGCATAATTGTTTCTTCCCATCTAATTATTTATCGATTAACATCGTTAATAAGAAACCCTCAATAAGTGAAATTCTCTCGGATTAGATACCAGATCACAACGAATACACGAACCAATATCAAAACTGAATTCGATTAGAATAATACATATGTTTATCACAAAATCAGCTTCCGAAAAATTAGGGAACATTAATAGCGCCCCGAGGCTCTAATCCACGGCCGTGTGACTTACGCACGACATCGCCGAGTGAAAGGGTGCGCCCCCGCTAGCCATATAAAAGCTCCAAGCACTTCTCGTCAGGCATCATTCAACATCCTCGATCAACTCACACACCACACAATGGCATTCAAGGTACTCACACGCAAGAACCTGTTCTAAAAGTTAAATCAATAGCTATCTAATATCTATGTAAATAGTGCTGTGGAATAAGTTCACTAATTGATCAAAACATTATTTTCAGTTTGTAGTATTCGCCTGCTTGGTGGCTGCCGCCAGCGCCGGAGTATACCCGGCCGCCCCCGTGGCGTACTCCGCCGCCCCCGCCTACGTCGCCCACCAAGCGTACGCCGCGGCCCCAGCGCACGTAGTGCACGCTGCCCCCGTGGCATACGCCGCCCCAGTCGCTAAGGTGGTCGCCCCCGTCGCCAAGGTCGCCGTCGAGGAGTACGACGCGCACCCCCAGTACAGCTTCGCGTACGACGTGCAGGACGGTCTCACCGGCGACTCCAAGAGCCAGCACGAGAGCCGCGACGGAGACGTCGTACAGGGCTCCTACTCCGTGGTAGACCCTGACGGTACCAAGCGCACCGTGGACTACACCGCTGACCCCCACAACGGATTCAACGCTGTAGTACGCAAGGAAGCCGTCGCTCACGTCGCTAAGGTTGTCGCTGCTGCCCCCGTCGCTAAAGTGGTCGCTCCCGTCGTCGCCAAGGTAGCAGCCCCCGTCGCCTACCAGGCTGCCCCCGTGTACCACTCCTCCCCTGTGTACCACGCGGCCCCCGTCGCTAAGCTGGCATACGCCGCCACCCCCGTGGTCCACGCCGCTCCCGTCGCCAAGTTCGCTGCTCCCGTTGCCTACTCCGCTCCCCTCTACCACCACTAAATTGATGCCAAAACCTAGGAATCCAATTGTACTATTATAAAACGTATTATTTTCAATACGTTTATAGTATAAAAATGTTCATTAGGAAATATTAAATTATTATTTTTTATAATGAACCTGATTTTTTATTTTAATGCTAAAGTAATGAACTTTTTCATTATTTTCTGTTTATCTACATACGCTATAAAAAAACCTTTTAATCAACAGAACTAAGGTACAATTTATCTACGTTCAGACAGACAGAATTCGAAAAACAACAAAGTGAGGACTCAGACATACCTACACTCCACAGATATTTTAAATAACGTCATAAAATAACGCTACGCTAAGAATAGGTACATACAATAGAGACTGGAAAAGCCTGGTGCTACTTATTACATACAACTCATCTCCCAGCTTATTCCTTCGAAAACTAAACAACTATGCGATATAATATTATGTCAATAAGTAGGTAAATACAATATTACAACACCTATTTTTATTAAAAAAACGGCGCTATACATTTATTTATTTATTATTACAATAAATAAATAAACATTTTGTTATAAGAATTTAGTTAAATGCCAAACACAGACAGTGTGTTATTTAATTATTCCTCGGTATCACGTAGCTATGTACCACCGCGCCGAGTCGGGTTACAAAGTTCACGTGCGGGCGGCCTGCGACTGAAATTATCCTATTGACATTTTCTAGTACTTATAACGTACCTAGACTGACTTAGGGCCTGGGAAAATTTTATGTATACTGGCCATTACTATTTAACATGAGATTATTGTATAAGTTTATATATTTTAACTACATCACGGTTATCATTATATCGGGATTTTAAACTTTCCCATCATCAGCCGTCCTTGAAAGTCCATGGCTAAACTAAAGGCATCTTCACAAAAGAGGGTATTGCTTAAATTTCCACATTTAGTAAGACAGTTGAAGATAGGAGTCAAAAAAGAGTAGGGCTTGTCAAAGAGCGCTAGTCTCACAGTCGACGCTTACGTCACCTGCGGGGAGGGTAAGGGCAGTCGCAAATGTTTTCCAGTCTGCCTTCATTGTACAACAAACTAAGTTAACTTACTCTTCCTAATCAAAAATAAAATGAAATGTCATAATAAAAAAACTGCTTTAGGTATATGATACGCTAAAGCTTTGTTATTTACAATCGAGTCTGCCTAAACACGCAGTCATAACAATTATAAATACATGCTTAGGTATTTGTAAGTGTTGTACGTGAACCTCCCCTCGCCGGTTCACAATGAAGCACTCACCCCATCTGAGGGGAAAGACAGACGGGTGGCGGGTGCCGGAAAAAGGGTGTGAGAAAATCGAAACGTCCATAAAAATTTTAGGCACAGACGGCAATATTATGCAGATTGCAGAATTGTTATGTAGGTACTTCGTATGACACATTTTTGTTTCGGCTTTAGACTAAGATAATCCTAGTCACTCACCGATATTTATAGAAACTAATAAAATTTTAAAAATGTATGTTTTTAAACATAATCTATAACATGCTGCCTCATCTTTATTATAATTATAATTAAGCAAAGTAGTACCTAATGTGATTATATAGAGAAATAAATAAGAACTTATTCAGCAGTTTTGATAATCCAACATTCAACATTCATTAGGTAAATGGAAAATAATCTTAATCATTATCGGTACATATGTACATAACATAAATAAAAGTACGAGTTCTTTACTCATTAAAAAACAAAAACGCAGATATAAATATTTGCGATGTTCATTTTAGCAGGCGTTCATACTTACACAACTTAATCATACCATATTGTTCGTATCTTGCAATATTATTTTGTATTCCACCACAGCAAAGTTAAAACCTAATAAAGAAAACGAGCTCCAGGCTAAATAAATATGGATCATAATAAGAAAATCCACACTTTGCTCCGCAATGCACAACAACTGAGCAATAAATGTATACACAGGGACATGTTAGCACTAGGCTTTGTTCTTCCCTGTCAACGACCTTGGATATCTGCCCCATTCGCAACTCCACGCCCTACCCTACGCCCAAGTCCTACGTAAATAGCACTGCGTAACTATAGAACACGTCTGGGATATGGGAAGGGAATAACGTCAACACAACGCCCTTGCCAGACTAAAACTACGGAACTAAAATTATTGAAACTCTTATAACTAAATTTGTGTGGAGTTTAATATTTTAAAATATATTGTAACGTATAATTTTAATTTATTCGGTTTTTATTATTATAGCTGTCAATATTTTTCATAACCATATTTTTTTTGTTATTTAATGATACTATACAATCAAAGTAATGTTTGATCGCCTTAGAACGACAAACCTACACTAAAACACAAGAAATCAGTTTCAGGTACGCTTCTATATACTTTAAATAAAGTAATAAATGCATAAAAAAGGCTTCATAAACTTTATACTACTAGCGCCATTGTCGCTCCAGTGTTGCCAAGTAGAAAATGAAACTGCCGTAGTATTGTATCTTTTTATGTTTGACAGCTGAAATCAAAATAAACATCGGCCGACGCCCAAACAAAACATTATTTTTGTGGAATAGGTGTGTCGCACACGCCCGGCTGCAGTGTCCGCAGACTCTGATTAAAAATACTTTTAATATTACATCAATCAGTGTTTAAAATAATTAAGCTATCGGTGCCTACATTATTTTATGTGGTTTCGCGATTTGTGGAAATTATTTTAAATTTTCAATAATAATTAAAAATTACATAACTTATATTATCGGAATATTGATTACTTTGTGCCATCAAGGAGCAACTACCGGCAATGGTGTCTACAAGGGGGGTCCGCTATAAATTCAGTGAAGGCGAGCGCGTTTTGTGTTATGAACCGGATCCAACAAAAGCCAAGGTGCTCTACGACTCCAAGGTAAGGTCCACAGCACTAGATCTAACCACGCCCAACACAAAAATTATTTTTACCCTCTTCTACAATAAATAATATCCTAAAACTAACTGCAATAACTACCCAACAACAACTAGGTTAGAATTATATAAAACTTTTTCTCAGAGGTTTCTAACTTTTTTGCCAAAATATTTGTCTACAATTATCACAAAATATATTTAGTAACATTATAAATAAGCTAAGAAAACACTTCTCATGAACAATTAATAAACAAAAATAATGTAAATTACCTACATAACATTGATATTTTAAGTTTTTTATTAGTGTGCTAAAAATACCGCAAATCACTTATAAATTGTGAATACATATTTCTGAATGATTTCGTGAAAAACATTCAAATTACATAAGTTGACCTCTTCTTTAAAGTTTTAAAGTTCTTTTCTTGGAAATGGGTGGGGTAGGGGTAAGGTGACCACATGTGGTCAAAAATATTGTTCAGTGGGTAGTCTTAAATAGTATGACTGATGTCTTAACTAGTATCTAATAAGATATTCTTGCATTGATGCAGTTGCTTCTAAATTGAAACATATTGTTTTGGGTGGGGCACTACCACCAACAGGCTGAAACCATAAAATGTGACTGGGGTGGGGCAAAGAAAGGCTAAGTCAATTAACAATACCCTGTAACAAATAGTTATTCCCCTTAACCCTGGTATAAATAATAGGTTTTTTCCAGCAAAAATTGAATAATGCTTATTTCTTTTATTATGTGTCAGTCGAGTTTGTACATAAGAGAATTTACTTCAAAGCGTAAATTTATTGTATACAGGTTTTGGAAGTAATAGAAAGTAAAGATAAGCGTGGCCGGCGTACCGTGGAGTATTTGATACATTTCCAAGGCTGGAATTCATCATGGGACCGCTGTGTCAGTGAAGATTTTGTGTTGAAAGACACGGAAGAAAATAGGCAGCTACAGAGAGATTTAGCTGAGAAATCTCAATTGCAATTGTAAGAATTTATTTTTAAAATATTCATGTTCAATTAAATTTATTTTTTTGGAAACAATAAGCTGTGCAAACTGCTGTGCTGGTTACTATTTGTTTTCTTCAATATTCAATGTTTTATATAGGGGCGCCTATTTGTATCGGCGGGAACGTAAGAAGGGTGGCGGCAGTGGTTCTAATTCGGCCGGCGCGGGTCCCGCCAAGCGCGCCAGACATGGCTTCTCTGATGACGGCTCCTCTAGCAGCACACAGCCGGATGGTGAGCCGAAATTGCAATAATATAATATTCTAGTTAGATTTTTAATTGTTTTTTTTTTGTAAATTTTACCTTCTATTGCAGTTATTACTGTGTGTTATTACTAACTGTGCCATCATTCTGCTATTTCGTTATGATCATAATATTTTCCTTACGAAATAAATGTGTATACGTAGTGCAGGCATTATATTAGTGTATCATTGGGTGCAATACGGTACCAGTGTATATAAGAACAAGTTGAACACGTGGCTATAGTTTCAAAAAGCGCGCCACCCGACACACCCAAAGTACGGCAAAGATGGCCGTTTACGCGGTAACGCCCAGACATGCGCAATAACGCTCTCACTCACCCCTTTTGCATTGGCGGCTTCCTTTGTTATTATGTTCATTGCTTATTTTTAACTTTGATAAAAGCTGAAACTATTGCTTTTGCATTTTTAAAGCGCTGAACATATTCAATGAAATAGCAAAAGTTCCTGAATTTTTATTAGTTAACCGTAATTTCTCTTATCGTAAAAGTTTTTCTAATAGTATTTTGCAGATTTAATTGCTCACTACTATTTTACAATTTAACGTTTTAATTAATTCAGAAATTCCTGCTAATTACATTATGCCTATTATTGAATTCGCACATATTTACATATTAACCAATTGATAAAAGGCAAAAGTGGGTGCTACTTTTATTTGCACCGCAACATCCGCAGCGAATCCTTTCGGAAAAAAGGCGTGATAATAATATTACACTAATACAATTGCAGAACACCTAATCCTTTGTCATTTTATGTTCCGAAATGTTCCTAAATAGCGAAAATAATTTTATTGCCGCTAATTAAGATAAGTAAACAAATATAGGTAGGTACTCGTCGTCTGCATTATATTAATGCGGACACGCCCTGAATAGTACCTAGTACCGTATTCAGGGCATATCCA